AGACCGATTTCCTTGAGTTTGAATACTAATCTATTGTGTGGAACTGTATCAAATGCCTTGGCAAAATCCAAAAAGATCGCATCCACGGCAACACCCTGATCTATACTTCTACTTACTTCTTCGTAGAACGCAATCAAGTTAGTTTAACATGACCTGTGCTTCATAAAACCGTGCTGATTTTTGCTGATAACCATGTTTTTCTCAAGGAATTCTTGAATATTTTCCCTTAATAACCTTTGAAATATTTTCCCAGCCACAGAAGTTAAGCTCACAGGTCTGTAATTTCCAGGCAAGGATTTTGAACCTTTTTTGAATATAGGAACCACATCTGCCTTCCTCCAATCCTCCGGAACACTTCCTGAAAGAAAAGATCTTTGTACTCAACTGATTGAGACTGTATGTATCCGTCAGATTTTGCAATCCGCTATTAAGTTGGTTCCCTCTTCTCTTGCCTTATTGTCCATTCATGGTGATTTAGAGACTTCCTACCAGAGGACCTCACAAATGTATTGTGTAGCCTTGTGCAAGCTCTGACGGAGAGCATCAACGTTCTCTTAACAGTAGGGTTACAATATCTAGATCTAGAACATTGTGTAAAATGTTACTGTTGTGGTCGTGACCTAAATATGAATATTAATCTCTTAATACATAATAATTAAGCAATACGGAACAACATTAATATTTTTATAATTCATGGTATTATGGTCGAATATGTGGATAGAAAATACACAAAACGTTGTAATATTAAATGTATATTTAATATAACTATAATAAATAAACAGATGCTAGCGGACTGTCAATTTCAATAATTATACAATACAATACTACACAAAACACTATTGGTTGCTAAGGCTATTACAATTGCTAACTGTTACAATACAAATATATTACTTACAAGGCCCCAGCCAAAGGGCTGGGGCTAAGTCAGAGCTGGTGCTACATGATCAGTCAGGTACAGGCAAACAGAGAGCTCGCTTCTCCTCACATCTGGGTTTTATTCAGTGTAAGTAGGCTGGCCTGTGATGTCACTGCCAGAAGCACAGGTCTTCCTACACACTCCCCCTAGTGGTGCCCCCAAAGCATTACACTAAATATGCTTTACTGACATCTAGTGGTGCGTCTAAAGCATTAAGCTCATTATGCTTTTTTTATGACAAAAAGTCATTAATTAATAAATACCATTACAAACCACCCTTTGATTTATGTCATAAAACAAACATTATAAACCCGTACATCTTGAATCTACCCTATTTTAACAGTACCTGCCCTACAACAAAACCCACCTTTTGAAGAATGATACCCATTTACCCGTAAAGTTATGACACTTTATTGCTTATTCAATTTTTATTTACTTTTTTTTTTCATTGAGCACATGCATCACCAGTTGGGAAACCTTGGCCTAAAATAAGCACATACCCACCCTTATAATAACAACTGAGCACATGCATTAGCAGTTGGGAAACCTTGGCCTTAAATAGGCAAATACCCACCCTTGTAATAATAGACAACTCAAACCATGTTTTATTAGATTAACCAATGATATTGTGTTCATGTGAGGATGTGTTTTGGAGCTTAATATAGTATTAGACACCACAAACTCATAACACCTATGAATCATGGCACAGACCGACACGATTTCTGTAGCCTCTGGCTGGTCTGTGTGCCTGGAATTTTCACAAACATTAGTCCTGGAAACTGGATACTCTATTCTTCGACAGTCTCATAGAACATACGCATGGAGACAGGGATGAATGAAACAGTTCATGTGCTCAAGGACTTTTGTGTGTTTGTGGTCACATTGTTTTGTTTTTTCTTTCTTTATACCATTAACCACCTTGACGTAACAGTGTCCTGCTCCTGATGCATTTGTTCCGACTCTCACCCCTCTTAGCTGCAATATTTTTTCTCCTTACAGCGACAGTTGAGCATAGTGTCCAGTGCTTCTTCTTCTTCTGCTTGAAAGTTCTTGAATGAAAACACAGGCAATGACGAACACAAACATAAATAATAACTGTGCCAATCATCACAAGTACCATTTGATTGTGGTGTCTTAACCATATTTTTTCCTATGGCGTTTGGATAAATACCTACACACCTCTCTTCACATCCAGCACACTCCTGATTCACAGATAAACACAATATCACTGCTGTATCTACCAATTTAACCCAAACACTTGTTATTACTGTTGCATTTACCAATTTAATCTAAACACTCGTTATCACTGCTGTATTTAACCAATTTAATGTAAACATTAACCAAAACAATTACATTCCTATTTACCACCCTTCTATTTAAACATGTATAGATAACCCAAAATGCCTACTTTCTCTTATCCCTCTTATCATTCTTCCGTTTTGTTGTTGTTGTTTTTTTGAACTGCAACCACTCATGCACTTTACACAGACACAAATCAAGCACCTACTGGACAATGGGGTTCCCTCGTTAGAGCCCTCCCACCCCAGTTTGGTTTACACAAAAATACCCCCTGGTCCCCATGGGTCAATTCCCCCCTTTCCCAGGCAAGCATACATACATACATACATACAACAATAATACATAAGGGTTTCAATTGCAATACAATCACTAGAAATAAGAGAATAGTATGCACAAAATCATAGCATAGACATGTTAAATAGACAATAAAATAAAACATTCAATAGCTCATCAAAGGTCAACATTTAAACACTGGTCTCCATCTGATATTCTATCTGTGTTCCAATGTCCACCCCTGGTTTCTGCTATATCTGAAAAGGTTAGGAAACAGATCAGGATTACTTTCCTAGTCACTTATAGCGTATACTGCAAATATTTTACTTAGAATATATATATAAAGGGAGTGCAGAATTATTAGGCAAGTTGTATTTTTGAGGATTAATTTTATTATTGAACAACAACCATGTTCTCAATGAACCCAAAAAACTCATTAATATCAAAGCTGAATATATTTGGAAGTAGTTTTTAGTTTGTTTTTAGTTTTAGCTATGTTAGGGGGATATCTGTGTGTGCAGGTGACTATTACTGTGCATAATTATTAGGCAACTTAACAAAAAACAAATATATACCCATTTCAATTATTTATTATTACCAGTGAAACCAATATAACATCTCAACATTCACAAATATACATTTCTGACATTCAAAAACAAAACAAAAACAAATCAGTGACCAATATAGCCACCTTTCTTTGCAAGGACACTCAAAAGCCTGCCATCCATGGATTCTGTCAGTGTTTTGATCTGTTCACCATCAACATTGCGTGCAGCAGCAACCACAGCCTCCCAGACACTGTTCAGAGAGGTGTACTGTTTTCCCTCCTTGTAAATCTCACATTTGATGATGGACCACAGGTTCTCAATGGGGTTCAGATCAGGTGAACAAGGAGGCCATGTCATTAGATTTCCTTCTTTTATACCCTTTCTTGCCAGCCACGCTGTGGAGTACTTGGACGCGTGTGATGGAGCATTGTCCTGCATGAAAATCATGTTTTTCTTGAAGGATGCAGACTTCTTCCTGTACCACTGCTTGAAGAAGGTGTCTTCCAGGAACTGGCAGTAGGACTGGGAGTTGAGCTTGACTCCATCCTCAACCCGAAAAGGCCCCACAAGCTCATCTTTGATGATACCAGCCCAAACCAGTACTCCACCTCCACCTTGCTGGCGTCTGAGTCGGACTGGAGCTCTCTGCCCTTTACCAATCCAGCCACGGGCCCATCCATCTGGCCCATCAAGACTCACTCTCATTTCATCAGTCCATAAAACCTTAGAAAAATCAGTCTTGAGATATTTCTTGGCCCAGTCTTGACGTTTCAGCTTGTGTGTCTTGTTCAGTGGTGGTCGTCTTTCAGCCTTTCTTACCTTGGCCATGTTTCTGAGTATTGCACACCTTGTGCTTTTGGGCACTCCAGTGATGTTGCAGCTCTGAAATATGGCCAAACTGGTGGCAAGTGGCATCGTGGCAGCTGCACGCTTGACTTTTCTCAGTTCATGGGCAGTTATTTTGCGCCTTGGTTTTTCCACACGCTTCTTGCGACCCTGTTGACTATTTTGAATGAAACGCTTGATTGTTCGATGATCACGCTTCAGAAGCTTTGCAATTTTAAGAGTGCTGCATCCCTCTGCAAGATATCTCACTATTTTTGACTTTTCTGAGCCTGTCAAGTCCTTCTTTTGACCCATTTTGCCAAAGGAAAGGAAGTTGCCTAATAATTATGCACACCTGATATAGGGTGTTGATGTCATTAGACCACACCCCTTCTCATTACAGAGATGCACATCACCTAATATGCTTAATTGGTAGTAGGCTTTCGAGCCTATACAGCTTGGAGTAAGACAACATGCATAAAGAGGATGATGTGGTCAAAATACTCATTTGCCTAATAATTCTGCACTCCCTGTATATACACACACACAGACACACAGACATGTAAACAAATTCCTTCAGCTTTTCATTTTATAAACAATTTGTTCAACAAGGTAACTTTCTTAATTTTCTACTCGGCTCTTAAAATAAACAATCAGCTAATAGCTGCTTTCTGCATCTTCTCTGCAATTCAGGAAACACATTTCTAGCCAACCTAAACATGTTTAATAACTCTCCACCCTTTGGTTAAATTATAGAGGAGTGAACCACAACACCTCTTCCGCCTCTGAAAGGATATAGGTCAATATGTCTCAAAGTTCAACACTTCTGACAGCTATGAGTGACTCCCTATTAATTTCTAGCCTTTCCACGGACATGCTTGCACCTCGCGGCTAAGGGCCTGCACAACTAACCACCCTGTGATAGCAGTGGCTTTCCGCATGGGGGTGACCGCCCCCGCAAAATTATAGAGGAGCAAACATACAGCAGCCTCTTTTCCGGCTCGATTAAAGGTTCTGGGCCAATATGTCTGCAATTTAACCAGTACACTCACGTATCACTTATTGTATATTTCCTGGTCTCTCAGGAATTTCTATTAAATAGCGTATCCCCTTCCCAGGGCAATATACAACAAAAACTAGTCACCAAGGGTCTCTATGGTCATGATAGGCCACCCTACCACTAGTGTAATACGCCCTTTTTTTAAAATATATTTCCTGGTCTCTCAGAGATTTTGCCTATCCCTTTCCCAGAGCAATATATATAAACAATTACAAATAAGTTACAAAATGCTACTTATAAGTAATACAGGGTTTCAAATAATAATACAGGATAGAACTGCACAACAACTATTGGGTATGCTCCCCCTTATCCGGACACGTTTAAATACCCCCTAGCTCAGGTTCCCCACCCGCTACTGTAACTAAAATCACAGCCCACGTTATGGAGGTTCACCCGCTAGGCAGATACACCCTAATTCAAAGCATGGAAATATTAAAATCAGTTATAGATGGCTTCTAAAATAATATAAATCTTAATCTGAGCCCCTACACTTACTTTGTTAAAAATGCTAACTTGTTAAAATATTCAGACTAAATAGGACAAAGGAATTATTTTACCATTTTTTCAGTTCATTTGTTACCAGTTCCTGCATATGTCCAGTAATTCCTTAGTCCTGGATAATAAAGCTGAAAAACACTCCACAAATGGATTAGTTTAGGGAATTACATTTACAAAACAATGCAGTTTATTTTTTCTCATACAGGCAAGACTACCCACCCCCAACAAGGACAAATACTCCCCCAGCTGTAGCTGAAATGCATGGTCACACAGCTGTTAAAAAGGTGGTCTCTCCTTCATGAGTCAAAATCATATATATATTTATACTAATATTCTGTGTATACGCACACATAAATCTATTATTCACTGAATCTGCTTTACTAAACGTATCTTTTTCTTAACTACTAATTTAATAAATTTTGTCAAAATCTCTTTTTCAACTAGACAAATCCATGAATGCCAAACAAATGTAAATTAGTACACAAACAGGGTCAAATTTAGCAATAAAACCTGGTGAACTAGTTTAGTGAAAAGTCTTTTCCTATGCAAATGAAAGCAAACAATGAAACTAGGCCTCAACTCATTCACACCATGTGGTCAATGGTGGATTAAAATCCACATGGTCAGACAAAAGGTAAAGTATATATATTTTTTTCTATATACAAATGACTAAAGATTGGTAACAAGCAACACAATAATTCATCACTATGTTCTACAACAAGAGATACCTTAAAAACAAATATCTAATCCCTATCTGCTATCTGCATTCATTCCATTACATATTAAATCATCATTCATTTATTCACTTCTATACAGACAGACAATTGACAGTATGATTTAAGCAAAATGCATAACATTTATATTTTCCCCAATATTCAAGCATAATCCTGCCGACTACGCCATATGTTGTGGTCGTGACCTAAAAATGAATATTAATCTCTTAATACATAATAATTAAGCAATACGGAACAACATTAATATTTTTATAATTCATGGTATTATGGTCGAATATGTGGATAGAAAATACACAAAACGTTGTAATATTAAATGTATATTTAATATAACTATAATAAATAAACAGATGCTAGTGGAATGTCAATTTCAATAATTATACAATACAATACTACACAAAACACTATTGGTTGCTAAGGCTATTACAATTGCTAACTGTTACAATACAAACATATTACTTACAAGGCCCCAGCCAAAGGGCTGGGGCTAAGTCAGAGCTGGTGCTACATGATCAGTCAGGTACAGGCAAACAGAGAGCTCGCTTCTCCTCACATCTGGGTTTTATTCAGTGTAAGTAGGCTGGCCTGTGATGTCACTGCCAGAAGCACAGGTCTTCCTACACACTCCCCCTAGTGGTGCCCCCAAAGCATTACACTAAATATGCTTTACTGACATCTAGTGGTGCGTCTAAAGCATTAAGCTCATTATGCTTTTTTTATGACAAAAAGTCATTAATTAATAAATACCATTACAGTTACCAATCTCTGTTTTATGGCAATCCTATATATGAGAAATCAATTAGTCTACACATATTGTTTAGAAGAAGAAATAAATACATAAGCATATTTTTTTTTCTTTCAAAAATATTGAGATTTCTTTCTACATTCAAAGAGGTCCAAGTTTCATTCCTTCCACTGTAAAGTCCAAGCCTAAAGAAGTTACCCACCTCTGTGTCAAAGGCTGTGAAAGGGACAACATGGTCTCCCCTTTATGTATTTACTGGACTTTGAATACACATAGATAACATTTTACAGTCTGTGTTCTGAAGGTTTAATTGATCCAAGAAGCAGTATTGCTGTTGAGCATGGCATTCAGTAATTTTATTATTTCTAACCCCTTCAGGCTCCATCAATTCTTCACTAGAATAAAGATGACAGGTAGTTCTAATGAGCTTACAAGAATACATTAAAACTGGGACAGGGCCACAAACCTAAACAGATACAATCTGTCTACATTGTATTCAACAGAACGACCGCTCTTGAAAATCAAAAGTATTCAAGTAAAGATATAGTGGCTACTTATTAATTTGTTTGGAAAAATTGCACTTCTGCATGTTGTTTGGTATGTCTTGTTCTTGTTGGGTGTGGTTTTTTTAATTTATTTTTTAATATCAATGATCCAATATTTATGTGTAGTTTGAAGTAGCTGTAAAAATAGAAAGTAAAGACAGCACAATGTATTTGTAAAGTAACAAAAAAACATTTAATGGATCAAATGGACCCAAATATATTTATCTTTACTAACCATTGAGATAATTTTCATATAATCTTCTGATTTTATTCATTTATTTAGTTTTATTGACTTGTGGACAGCAATTGCTTTACCATTATTCTCATAGCCAAATGATTGCTTCCCCGTGACACTGGTGGATCAATATTAAATTAAAGTAAAAAGCCCTGATTTTAGTTAAAATGTTTTAATAATCGGATTTTCTAACCAAAAAACACCACAAAAATGGTGAAATCTACCATTTTGCTCTTCTGTTGAGCTTATGAAGTACACCTTTTGTAGTTTGATCTACACACACGTATTTTTATAAGCATATATTTAGTAGCACTTCCTTCTGCAGCTAATTAAATTTAGCACAGTGATACATTCTATTATATGTGTTATATAACTGTTAAATAGTGCATTACAAATTTAGTTTTTTTTTCTTTGTAATTATATGCATATTGTAAGTGCAGTGCTTGGTTGGAACACTTGTCGGGTTGTCAAAAATTCCCCAGTGTCTCTCATTTTCAAAGGGGACCTTTTAGAGAAATATAACCGATTCTTTTTCTTCTAGGCATGTTCATGTTTTAACATGAATATTGATTCATTTACAAACACACTGCTAAAATACCAGTGAAAAAATCTCTAAAATTGATCCATTTTCTGTCGTTGTAATTGGATTTTGGAAGTCTGGGCACTGGAAAAAGAAATCTGTAATCAGACCATTGTGCAATCAAAATACCTTAAAAAGGTTAAAGAACAAATATTAAATGTATCCTCCTAAATGCATTTCGATTTACAGATTACCATGGAATATCTAGTCCCAGATCAACATGCCAATTAATAGAAAAAAAAAAGATCTTGGGTGCTTGATGATTATGTTCGTGATCTAGAAGTGCCACATAAATTATGACTAAGTTGTACATGGTAAATATCAACTAAGAACATGCTCCAATGCACAAATTGAGACCTCAAAGAGAAGGCCATTAGTTTTTTATTGAACAGAGTTTGAAGAGCACTTATTGATGATAATCTTCTGCTAAAAGAGTTGTCAAGAGAAGATTGCCGAAACATCTTGCAGACAAAGTAATTTGGAATAGCGGAATGAACGTTTAAAGAAACTGATCGAACTCTAGATTTAAGATTCCATTTTTATTTCAAGTTTTAAATGGATATCTCTCAAATAACCTTTTCAAAGATTTAAAATGAGCTTGGATGAGTTGAATATTTTTTAATTATCACTTGGCAAGGAAGCACATGTTGAAATGAAATCCATTATTTGAAATATAGGTTGGGTGAATTTCCATAATCTTAGCAGGTCTCTTGGGGGCAGTTTAATGTAGTATTGCAGGTATATCCCTGTTTCATTTCAGTGCAGTATGCAGCACATTATAATGTGCACTCCACCCCAATAACTCATTGGCTCTCAACTGTTCTATTGTTCTATATTTTGTAAACGTGAGGGGTTGGGAGATGGACCTTGGGGTGCTTCTTTCACCAATGAGTATTACTCATGAAATTCGACTGGTTAACTTCTGCTAGCTAAATGCCTAGGTTCAGTGTTTTCAAAGTGTTATTTTTATTTTAATGTACTCTGCTGTAATTCACTCAACCTTATCATAATTCCTTCAGGTGATACTTGGACATATCAAATCTCATATACGATTAAATGTATTAATCCTTGATGAGTGCCACCACTAATAGACCATTATTGGGGTTGCATCTTTCTAAATAAGTAGGTTTATGGGGTTGTTCAGTAAACTGAGGATTATTGAGAATTAACAAAATATTGTAAGTTTTTAGGTGGAAATAGCTGAATTCAACCAATTCTCAAACTCCGTTCTTTTTCTAGCACAACCTTTTCTTTTATAACGTTTACAATGCTCTTGTTAATTCCCCACAACTCTCAGTTTAGTGTCCAATTGCTATTTTCCAAGTGGTGGAGACCCTGTGCTTTAAATGTTGAAGGAGTGTTTAGAGCATACCCTTTCACAGTTCTTGTATCAGATGAAGTGCCACTTTGGAAATCTTAGTAAAAGTGTTTTTGATTCATGCAAAATTTGGAAGAGTATAATTTTATATACTTTGTGTTTTGACTTGAGTGTACTGTATAGGGATTTGATAATGAGTTCTACATTTTCTCCCTCTGCTTTGCTTAGTAAATATTACATTAATCCAAACAAAATGTATTGAATGTGTTTGCTACTATTCTGTGCATTGTCTTACGCAATATAAATCACCAGAACGTGAAATCCTAGTAATGGCTGTAAATCAATAGGAAAACTGTATGTGGAACCAACAAAGACAGAACCATACTTTATTTTTACTATATATCTGTTTCAATGGGTGCTCCATAGAGGCAGGCGATCTGTATGTGTAAGACCTGGTATAATGGCTATTTGAACAATGTCAGATGTTCTTCTTTAAAAGGAGTAGAACGTGATCTATTAAACCATATTTAATGAAAAATCCCTCATTCGTCTAAGCTAATAGGCCTTCGAGGATATACGATTATAAAATCAATTGCACAGTAGAAAGGAGGTATGAGAATGTCAGTCATGGTCTCTGAGCAATAATTCAGTGA